CCCGCATCCCAGCCCTCGTCGCCTCCGTCGCCTACCGCCTCGCCCACGAGCACCGCCTCCCCGCCGCCTACGATGACGCTGTCGACACCCTCCTCTTCCTCCGCGACCAGGCCCTCAGCCCGGCCGACCCCTGGCTCCGATCCAACGCGGACTTCTCGAACGTCTCCATCATGGGTTACAGCGCCGGTGGCAACATCACCTTTCACCTCGGCTTACGCTCGGTGGGCCTTACTAACCGATTGAAGCGAGAAAGAAATACGGTTGAAGCATGGTATTTGTTTTTCTTTCTCTTGCCAAAACCCCAAAATCACCACTCTGTCCTTGCCACCCCCGCTCAGACTTTGCCTTCGTTCAGACCTCACTAAATAATTCACTTTTACGTAGCAAGCTTCATTTTCTCCTTCTTTTTATGCTAAATATTTTGCACAAATGAATGTGTTATGATTGGAATTCATCAGAATGTTGTGTGTTGTGTGTAAAGCAAGATTTGGAATTGTTATTGCATGATAGCCTAATGTATTAGATTTTAAGTGTGCCATCTGAGACATTCATAACTTAGCGTTGTGCTTCCTTCTAGGTATGAAGAAATGGCTTCAAAGTACAGTGTCAAGTATATTGCTGGAGGTATAATTTTGGTTTAAACAATCATTATGACACACAAGCTCAATTCAATTTTAAATTATGTGATAACATTCGGCCATATATTATGTTAATCTCTTCAGGGGCTACACAAAATGCAATCAGGGTTGCCCATGTATATTTAACATATGAATGTGAATCTCCTGTATTTTATGAAGCTTTGTCGACTTAACATTTTTTGATATCATATTCAATTTGCAGTGGATGCTTCAAACTCCTGGTGCAACTAGCTTTATGGGTTGCATTGGAAAGGACAAGTTTGGTGAAGAAATGAAGATAGAATAAGGCAATAAAAGAAGAGATTTTTTTACTAATTTGTGTTAATCTCCTATGTAACCTAATTCATTTCTGGTGTGTTTCAATTTTAGGGTATTCACTTGTTGCAATTGGTTATTGCATTATGCTTTGTTGTCATGATGTCTTATCAATATTGTTCTTTTGATAGATGAATAAGTCCTTGATTGCCAAGTTATCTGCAGCGAATTGTTACAAGCATGACCATTTGAAAAAAAACCAGAGAACTGGGAACTAGGTAATTTCTTTTCTTGTGTTCCTTGTTGTCAAAATCTCTTTCTAACTAATATACGTATTGCGAAGCTTGTCTCCATCTGTGTTGTAATATGTTTATTATGTTGTCATATTTTTTATATGATTTTTGTTTTACTTTCTATATTTTGAAGTGCATTGTTGTATCATGCTAGCATGACAACCATGATAGTCCCATGGTAGCATATTTTGTGACTATTAGTTTCGCATTTTAGTAGAAAGCTTACATATGAAAAGGGAAGAACACAAAATTAGTTGGAAATAGATGAATGATGGTAAATTGTCCAATTACTAAATAATAATTTCATTATCATCTTATAGTTCACTATTAGTAATATATATGTTTTCTTGTTGAAGTCATATATGCGATTCTAATATTTTAGATCTAGCAATACAACTAGGTAATAGCTACACTTCTATACGCATAAGCTTGCAAGAGCCCTTTCCTTTGAATAAAAGTAAAGTGGGAGTTTAGCGCAACATCTATATGCATAAGCTCGAACAAAAAAAGTATAAGCATTTCTTTAATTCTCTATACCTTCATCCGTCCATAATAGCTGGAACTCCCCAGACTTCTGATAATGCACTGATTTTGGCTTATGTTTTATATCCCATTGGTTTGTTCTATTGGATTTTTTGTTTCTTATTTGGATTTTTTTTCTCTGGTATTGATACAGGAGGAGGACATGCGTTTGGAGAATGTATAGTACTCTGAGATGAAGGATGTCAGTTTCTTTGATTCTGATTGGGAATAATACTGCTTTGTCTCTACTTCTCTTCACATCTGTAAATTTTCCTTTCTCATGGCTTTCGCGAACTCTTTCATTATATAAATCCTTGACGTGTGAAAACTAGTTATTGTCTATGTAAATAATTTATGTTTCGCTCTAGTATTTTGGTAAATGTATTATTTGAATATAATTGTATTTGATATTGAAATATAATTAGATTGTGTTGGATATGAACATGATTTGGTGTTGGATATTATATAGGGTGCAACGTAGATTCTGCAAAAAAAAGTAGCGGAAGCAACCTAGATGAAATTCTGTCTAGGTTGCAATATAGATGGTTTTTCACATTACGTCTAGGATGTTTTCCGTCTAGTTTGATCAACTTAGACGGAATTCTGTCTAGTTTGACTCAAAATAGACGGAATCAAACTAGACGGATCAACCTAGATGAAACACCGTCTAGGTTGATCAACCTAGACGGGAGATTAAGCAACCAAGACGAAAAATTCTGTCTAGGTTGCTCGTTTTTCTACTAGTGACATCATTATTCTTAAGGATCTCAACCTCAAATCTTTACCTCTCTCTTGCTTGTTTTAGAAAAGTTTTTCTAAACTCATCTAGCTATTTGATATTTAGATTTTCATATATTTATGCTAGATTAATTTGAGTGTATTTCATTATACTCATTGCCTACACACACAACCACTTGAGCTTAAGTATTTCACATATAGTATATTTGGGTTGTGAGAGTGTATCTTTGAGAGTGTGCTTACAATTTCGTCCTCATCTTGTTTAGAGAACAAATCTTTATTTGAGCTTATCATTGTGAAACACGTGTAATACACAAGGACACTTAGAGGAGTGGTTGAGAGAAGAACGGGGTCAATTCTAAGAGGAGTGACTTAGTTGTAAAAGCCTAGGGAGAGGTAGTAATTCCAAGTACTTAAGGAAGGTGACACGGGTCGGCCAACACTTAGAGAAGTGTATTGTGTAATTATCATTGTGTGAGTTGTAAAAGTTTTTGGTGAACTTCAGAAACCGATTGTGTAGTTATTTGAGATAGTGGAGAATCTCCTTGAGGTGAGGAACGAAGACGTACGTCAAGGGTTGACCGAACTCCTTGGTCATTTCTTTTGTGTTTGCGATTGTCTTGGTGCACTATTATCAATGTTATATCTTGTGCATGTTTATATCGCCTATTGTGTTATCTCTTATTATCCTTGCATATTTATCTTGTATATCACATTTGCTAGGATAATTCATTATTAGTTTTAATTTGGCATCGTAATTGGATTAGATTAACAATTACGTTATTCACCCCCCTCTAGGGTATTTTCAATTTCATATATTACCAGAATCAACAAGGATACGAAATCATTAAACACATGATTCTGATGAAATTATTTCAAACACGTTATCTTCCTAAATAGATGAATTTTGAAAAATAATTTATATGTATAGGTCTAAACGTATTTTTGACCGTTTTGCGAAATAACGTGTGTGTGTGTGTGTGTGTGTATGATTAAAGTAACACCTAAGCTATAAACACTATACCAAGCATATAATCTTCATGAAGCTCGATCTTGATAGCGGGATGAAGCGATAATGTATCGTGACTTGAATTGCGACGGCTTCAATCCAATTTCCGCCATGCTCCAAGAGATCGTTGTTAAGGCGCAAATCCAATCTCGATGCATGTTGGAGGAAAACACAAATACTAGAAAATAAGATTAGGAATTGTTTGTTAATCATAAAAACTAGATTAGACAATAGGTTCATAAATATGAGACCTAATAATCAGATGGGGCGACTCGGCTTCACACCTTGTTTATTCGCGATGTAGGTGGCAAGGTCTCATTGTAGACATTTTAGACGCAAGTTTCCTTGTTAATATAAACCACACACCTTTAAGTATCAATCGGTTCTTTGGCTTGTGGGCTACTTGGCCTCGTGCCTTGGGTTTATTCGCGATAACACCAAGGTCTTAGGGTACGTGTCTTGGGCTTAGGGAGATGTCAATGTCTTTTTTGTCGAAATAGATTGAGTTGACGTGCCTTGGTTTTACCCTGAGAAGATACCAATGTTTTTTATCGATGGTGTGCCTTAGTCTTACCCTGAATAAGTACCAAGGTCTTAGGAGTCGAAGCCGATCGAGTTGAGACCTGCCTTGGTTTTACCCCGAGAGGGTACCAAGGGCTTTTGTCGATAGCGTGCCTTAGTTTCACCCTGAATATGTACCAAGGTCTTTGGAGTCGAAGCCGACCGAGTAGATGATGATCGATCGACAAGAGCTGCACATTGATACAACAGGAAAATATATATTGTTTGAAGACAACACCATTAATTTAATTACCTTGGAGGGAACTATATTTGCCTTGGTCTTATTCATGAAAGTGACGCCAAGGTCTTTGGCTGAAGTAGGCCGAGTCAATGGTGATCAGCCTTGGCGGTAGCTTCTCATCTCATGATTTGAGCATAAGATGAAGGGCCCCACGGTGAGTGCTAAATTGTTGATGCAGTCATTACACATGAGGTTTATGTTAGAGTTATGAGAGTGTATAGGGTCATCAAACTTTTTCAGACAGCTGGTCTCCTAGATCGTTGTTCTTTCCTGCACACGAAATACTCATCAGAGGGCAGAGTTGGGTTCTCCAGTATTTCCTTCGACGATCAAGTCAGTGTTTGAGCTTGTGTGGGGAATATAAAACAAGTAAGGGGATAAACACAGAGTTTCAGAGTTACCTCCTCTCCCCTCCCCCTACCTCGTGCAGTGCCACTTCCTTTTATAGCAGATTAGAAGGATAAAAAGCTAATTGTGGCCTAGTTCAGGCAGACTGTTGAGTCGGCATATACCTTCCAAGTGTCGGCCACGGAAAAAGGTGAGTCATCTAGTCATTAAATGAGAGAATGATAGCAAATGCTTGAAGCTGACTGGGTCCGATGAGTCATAGATGCTATAGGGGCTAGAGTGATGATGATTTTGTCAGAACAGTTAAGGCGAGAGCGTTCAGTTGGCGAGGGGTTCGAAGTAATTGTCGAATTTCTATTTCTTTGGTCAAGGGTCAGGAAGCACCACCTTTTGATTTGAATACGCAAGTCGTCGGCCGACACAGTAGGCCGAATGTGGGTTGTTTCTAGGGTCTATCGGGTGAGATGACCAACAAGTATCGCCTTTTGACTCGGCTATGTAAATTGTCAGCCTATACGGTTGGCCGCAGACACAACTCTGGTTGTTGGTTTCTGGATAGATCTGATTAAGCACGAGGTGGACACATGTCGGTTTTCCAACAAAGATTAGCACTTGCCGATTTTCTAGACTAAACAATGTCAAATTTTCTAAAAAACAAAAAAATTAAAACTTTCAAATAGTGAAAATTTACAGTTTATAAACTAAAAACCCCAACTGAAAGTTTTGACTTTTGCAAAAAACACCCTAAATGTTACAAAAATTACAAAATACACGCTCTAAAGTCAACTTCTACATAAACAACTTCCAGAAATAACACTCTACAAGTTTGAAAATTTGCAAAATACAACATTAAAAAGTCAACTTTTACAATAACACGCCCCGGATACATCAAAATTTACAAACAGTGCAAAATCCATAAGTCATAAATAATACCATGAAAATTTTACAATTTGTAAAAAACACAAAGTTTTAAAGTTGCAAAGTACACCCTCACAAAGTCAAAATTTTTAGAAACACACCATAATTATGTGAAAACTTTATCTAAGTACAAAATCTATAACTTATAAATAACAACGTGAAAATTTTAAAATCTGTAAAAAACAACCTAAAATTTTTAAAATTACAAGATACACCCTTAAAAAACAAATTTTACAAAAATACATGCCACAAATATGAAAACTTAGAAGCAGTACAAAATATACAGCTTATACATAGCAACATGAAAATTTTGATATTTACAAAAAACACCCTAAAGCTTCAAAAATTACAAAAAACACCCTAACATTCAAATTTTAGAAAAAAACATGAACAATCAAAAATCAAAAGTTAAAGAGTATAAAGTTTATAAATTAGGAAAAAAATCCCTTGACAAAATGACATTTGCAGAAAACACCTAGAACTTTTAAAATTTGCAAAAAACACTCAAATTTAAAACTTTACAAAAAACACCCTATAATTACCTAAACTTCTAAGCAGTACAAAATGTATAAATGATAAATTGGACCATAAAAACTTTACACATGGACTTTACGTTAGGTACGTGAAAATCATAAAACAATTAAATGAGTCGCTTAGGTCAATGGGTAACCCATTTAATAAATGAGTTGACCTGACTATTTAATGGGTTGGATCGGGTGAATATTACACGAGTCGGATCGAAATTTATATGGGTCAGGTCGGTCAGCAAACACAGCTCAAAAACAATCAATATGGCAACCTCAAAATAACCGAGCATTCCATCTACATTTCCTAGCTTCTTGCAGTACTCTCTCATACAATACGAGAGTAATTTCAGCAAAGAGAATTTCGCAACTACATAATGTTTAGGATAGTTAACGCTAGGAGGGGAAGTAAGAAAGAAAGAAAAGCCATCCAAACTCTCCCCAATATTAAAACCAGAATACTTTGAGAAGCAAAAATTTCGTCTAATCGAACGCATCATCATCATCATCAGGAAGAGGCTGAGCAGCAGCTGCTGCAAGGTCTGCCTCATGCCTGTCAAAAGGACAAAGACAAAGTTATATTAGCTCCCAGAAAACATGGACTTCACAAAATCACCATGAACTATTATTAACTGTTCTATTAGAGGAAACACCACAATCCTTTTTCACTAAGCATATGATAAGAACTTGAAATATTTTTTGACATTTTTGCTCTTATATAACTATACACAACTACTCCCTCACCATCTTTCCTTCTTACTATGAACAATTTAGACCTTTTAACCATGTAATACTTTACAATGTTGCGTAATTCTGATAGCATGTGATAATTTTCTATGGATGTAAACATTTTTAATATGTTTCCTCTAATATAAATAGTTTGATATAAGTTTTGTGCAAAACCCTGATAGTTCATGGCAGTTATGTAACATTTATCCTTTAAAAATAAAAATATCAATAAATTTCACCACCACCTGAAGACAACTAAGTTAAGTTGTCATGTCCTTTGCAAATGACCTGGCAATTATGTGCTTTGGATAATTTACCCATACGTAATATACCTGCTATAATATTATCTGTTTTTGAGTTGGGGCACGTAGAAAGTGATAATGGTACTTTAGAGTTTAGACCATTTAACAATCAAGTCAACACAATTTATGACATTTCTAAGAGTTAAGAGAGATTTTGTAATAATTAATGTTCAGAAGAATTTTCTCTGATCGATAAATTTTAGAGGGTTTTGTGCAAAACACCCCAAAGTTAAGTAGTCTTTGTGAAATTTAACCAAGGAAGATCTTAAATCTATGCAATGAAAGAAGCATGCTATCACTTACTGTCTCTGTACTTCCAGATCGATCTGCACCTCTGGAGGAGCAAGAGCAGGAGACTCGACAAAGTGGAGATTGGGATCCCTGAACGGTCATTAATGTAATTAAATTCAAAAACTTCGTTCTTACTCTAAAGTAAAATGCATATGAAGGTTCTGAGTGCTATTATACCCCGCAAGTTTTCTAGCCAAATAAAGGAAGGGCTTCTCAAAATTGTAATTGCTCTTAGCGGAGATCTCATAGTATTGGAGATTCTTCTTCCTGTGGAAAGTCACTTGCTTTGCTTTCACTTGCCTGTTCTTCACATCAACCTTATTACCACACAGAACTATAGGAATGTTCTCACATACCCTGAAAATATTAACACTAAACAGTTAATAAGCTAGCACCATGAAAAGAAAAAAGGCTCAGAAACATTCTGGATTAGACAAGAAACCTGCAAAGGTCACGGTGCCATGTTGGGACGTTCTTATATGTCAATCTTGCAGTGACATCAAACATGATAATTGCACATTGGCCATGGATACTGCAAATTTGAAACAGAAATATAGGATAAGAACAATAACCTATCGTAAGAAATAACATTATGAAAAGGGAAAAATGTTAGCTTGTTGATATAAATCTATAATCTATTGATAAGGAAACAATCTGGAAACAGTTAAGAACAGTAAATCTCAAGTGTTGTAAATCAGGTCAGTTACAGCTCTGAAGAAATACACGCACAAAAGTGATGCTGTGATAATAATGACACAACATAGAAAAGTGTAACAGCAATAATGACAATCGTCGATGAAGATTGACTAAAATTATGATCTTAAAGAAAAAGAAAAAGAAAATATTTGAATCAGTTAATTAGGAAGACTGATATTATTATCAACAAACTGCTGTTGACTGACTAAACTTAGGGACGATACGCGCTACCACTGAAATGTGTTTGTGCTTGTTGGATGGGAGAGCCAAAGGAGATATGATTTCTAGGATTTTAGCAGAGAATGCCCAATATCAAAAAAGCAAACAGAGAAAACCATAGTTAAAAGTAATTAAAAAAACTTAAACTACATACACAAAAAAGTTACAAACTTATTTCTAAACTAAAAAAAGATCAAATTGCACAAGTCAACACTAAACAATGTGCCAGCTAAACTGAAATTGAAACTGCTATTAAAAAGATAACACCAAATTAACTTTTCTTCAGCATACTACAGTTACAAGACCAGTTGACAAGAATATAGCTGTACACAGAAATTCAACAGCACCAAATTAACTATAGTATCCTAAAATTGAAATAACTAGAATTAGTAAGTCAGTTAATTACATGAGCATGATCTTTTGCGTGTTACAGAAACAAGGATAGAGAAATTATCTTCCACATATACTTCATTACAAGTAATGTACAACAACTAACATCACAAGAGCTAATTTTGCACCAATACTTATTTTACGGGTAAACCTGTATAAATAGAACACTGAATTGGCAAAAATAGGGACAGCTTACTAATATCCATCTCTAAGACCCCCAAATTTCTCTTGCCCAGCTGTGTCCCAACAGTAAAACCGGATCTTGCCGCAGTTTGTGAAGAAGTCCAAGGGATGAACTTCAACACCAATAGTTGCTGTACAAACAAAATATTTTAAACAAGAAACAAAATGAGCACTGAACTAATAGATTATAATTGCCAACTACATGCAATCAATAACGATATACTTACGTTCATACTTCTTCTCGAACTCACCGGTGAGATGCCTCTTCACAAATGTAGTTTTCCCTGCACCAAAGTTAAACTAAAATCATCAAAGAATAATATATAAAAGAAAAACATTAGTATCCTGAATCCATAAAACTAGTGAATCAACTCAAATAAAACCAGAAAACAATAAAAAAAATCATTTTGCCTATATACCACCTAAATGTACTCCATTTGCATTTATCCCAAATCTGAATATTAGCTACTTTATCCCTAATACTTTAACATTGAACTAAAATACACCTCATAGTTAACACCCTGCAATGATAAAACAACAACGATAACAACAAGGACGACAACAATAATAACAAAATAAAATAAAATAAAATAATCCCGTGCTCCCTTAAAAAAAAGATTCTCCAAATATACAAAACATGCAGATTTACCCTCTACATCTGTATATTTGCTAACATATCCCTGCGCGGTTTATCGAAAATCCAATGTGAGAGAATGTAGACGAAAATTAGCAAATATGTCTAGATTTGGTCATAAATTTGAAAAAAAAAATAACAAATTTGAAAAGTATACAGGAAACCACCCAATGAAATACCTTTCAGCTCAAACTTATAAAAAAGCAGCGATTTTTAGCTCAAGCAAAGTGCCAAAGAGATCCAAGATCGAAATTTTCTTACCGGTTCCGCCATCTCCAACGATGACGAGCTTGAAACTTGGGTAGTCCACTGTCTGCTGATTTGGCAACGCCTAAATCAAACAAAATCAAAATTAATATTAAAATAACTAGTTGAGAATTTGAGAGCGTACGAGAAATACCATAAGGTTTTTTGTTGGATCTCAAGTCCTAAGATGAGGGATAGAGATTAGGGTTTATTGAGAGATTCGTCTTGGATTGAAACCCTAGAACAAGGTTTTAGCTAGAAACTTCGTTTACTGTGAATTGTTGCGATTTTTTGACCGTTAGATTTCAGTGATATTAGTGATGTTGACGCGTGGATTGTATGGTGTTTGAATTTGATTGAATGGGCCTTTGGGCTGAATTAATGGTGTCGTGTTTTACATGGCCCATGAAGTTGGAAGTTTATGTGGCCTGCTCTGATAGGTTTTTCAGGAGAAGAAAGATCGACTTGCCAAAATTCGCTCCTAAGTTTATGCGGCCTGCTCTGATAAGTTTACCAAGTTGGAAGTTTTACATGTATGTATATATACATACATGTATGTATATATACGACTATATATACATACATGTATGTATATATACGACTATATATATACATAGAAAAGCCAAAACGTGTATGTGTGTGTAGGATTGAGCTTAAAGTACTAACACACATAATATAAAAACCTAAACTAAATATACTCAAGCTTGATCTTGATCTTCAATAAGCTTGACTTGGTAAACTTGCGGATAAAACTTGAACTTGGATCTTTAACTTGAATTGCATGGCTTCACTCCACAATCCCGCCAATCTCCATTGGATATGATCGTTAAAGCTCGATTTCATCCATCCTCCAACTTATTGTTTGCCTAGAATAAATATAAAACACAAACACTAGACAAACAATATTAGATGTAAATTGTTTGTAAATCATCATTGTAGGCTGTCTAAAAATCACAACAGATAGCTGATCCCCATCAAACACCGATGATGAAAGTTACAATTCGACGGCTTCCAGAAGGCTACAATTTGAAGACTTTCACGTAGATCGATGAAGGTTACAATATGACGACTTTCACAATAACTGATGAAATCTCTAATCAATAGCCCTCACAATCAGCATCGGGAGTTACAATCTGACGACTCTCATATTTTTAAGGAGCCAAGACGAAGATTACAAGATGACGGTCTTTACAACGCTCTAGCAAAAGAGACTGCAAATTGACGGTCTCTTCAAATCAAGACGCAGAGCTCGCCTCTGCGTCTTAGACTCAAAACGCAAAGGTCCTCCCTGCGTTACAACCTCAAAACACAGAGGTCCTCATTGCGTTACAACCTCAAAACGCAGAGGTCATCCCTGCGTGACAACATCAAAACGCAGAGGTCAAGCCCGTGTTTCAGAGTCAAACACAAAGGTCATCCCCAGCGCTCCGACTCAAAACACAAAGTTCGTGGACTCAAACTGCAGAGTTCATACAGAGCCTAACTCCGCGTCTCAGGTTCAAAACGCAGAGTTCGTGGACTCAAAACGCAGAGTTCATGCAGAGCCCAACTTTGCGTTTCAGAGTTCACAACACAGCGCGACCTATGCGTTCAGCCATCAAAATAGGTACAACTCTGCGTTTCAAGTCTAAGGCGCAGAGTTCGGGCCCTGAACGCTATTTTTTAGCGTTTGACTCGTTCAAAGCACGAACTGAACGGTTTCAAAACCGTTTTCCCCATGATTTGGGGAGCAGTTTAAGGGGGCGGTTACACCCCATTTAACCCCACTTAGTAGCGAATTAAGGGGGCGGTTACACACTTTAATCCCCTATAAATAGGAGTAAAATCAACTGAGTTCAGGCTGGATTTTGGCTCTTCTTTTGGGCTCTTGGATTGATCTTTCTTTGAGTCCTTCGGCTTGGCAGCGAGGAGGAGATCTTTGGCTTCTTTTTGGGGGAATTGCTGGAGCTTTGGAGATTGGCAATAGGAGCTTTCTTCACCATTGGCTTACAAACCGATTTCGGTTAAATCAACTCTTTCATAGAGTTTTAAACTCATTCAGAGTTATCAACTCGTTTAGAGTTCTAAAACTTACTTTGCAAGTCCTCCATAGCGTCAAATCGTGAGGAGAAGACCACGTTCCAGTGAAACAAGACGTTCGGATCATCAACGAGAAGCAAACTCGACGCGAGCATTCAAGGGAGACATCTCATCGCCACCATGAAGAACCCAGAATTAAACAAAGGGGAGGATCTCTATCGATCCTCTTCTCTTTTGTAATCGGGAATCCAAATTGTAATTGAGATTGAGAGAATACAAATTAAATATATTTCTTTCATTTCTTTTTACTACAAATTTTCCACCAAACAATCATCAAAACAAGAAGGCCAACACATTCCGTCAGAGCTTGGCGCTCCTCGACAAAGTAATGGGGAAGCATCAAAAAATGATAACTTTTGACGCCTGGAGCATGCTCATTATATCATAATAGTTCTGGACATGCTTGGAAGGGTCCCCTTCTCCTTTATACTTCTCCACATGAGGCATTTTGAACTTCTCACACAAGGCATTCATGAGGTCATCAGTAAGGGGGTTTTCCCCCTGATAGCTTTGGCGACTGGTCTATACACTCGATCATATCAAGGCGCCCCCGGGGTGCCTGAGAGGACTAGAGAGGCATGCTGATGATGGAGAGTCTTGGACATCCCTCCCACATTGCGCTATCTATGGTGGCTAGGTCTAGGGCTCTTGCCGGTGGCTTCGGAGTGAAAGAGGAGGTGCCGACGAGGATCTACTGGGCGAGTTGACTGGTGTGGTGGTTAGGTTGTGTGCTCGACGTGATCCTTTCGCTGCTTGGTGCCAGCATGAGGAGTCTGAAGGGGGGACTACACGTTGAACTACTGAGGGGGAATAAGTCCCTGATTGCTGGCCTCTTGAGGGTGGTGGAATAGGGGAAGTAGTTTGTTGTGGTTATGAAAATCAGTAGAGGAGCTTGCTGGTGAAGGTAGCGAGTTGCTATTGGAGAGATTGAGAGATCTTTTGAGCCGTCTCTTCAAGCTGGACTTGAGTGACATAGTTCTGGTGTGGTTCTCCAGGGATGGATTGATCAGCTCTATACTTAGAACTAGACATGTTTGCTCAAAAAAGAGAGAAAGCCCCATAGTGGGCGCTAAACTGCTGATATTATACAATCATATAGGTAAACTGATAGGAACTGGGTTGATTAGGGGCTGGTAACTTCTCCAAAAATCTGGTCTCGGGTTGAGCTATTCTTCCCTGCACGTGTAGCAACTCGTAAGAGGGCAAGGTTAATTCCCCCATTGTTCCTCCGATGATCAAGTTAGCAAGGTACTTGAGTGGGGGAAAATGGCGAACTGTAGTAGTTCTTAGGTGCGAAATGGAGAAAAATACAGGAAAAATGCTTACCTTTGCATTGGGAATAGTTTTCCCTTTTATGGCCACATAGGAAGTGCATTTTGGTCTCTTTGGTCAAGTCTAGGCTGGCAGCTGAGTCAGCATTGACTTCACAGGTGTTGACTATGGAGTGGTCACGAAATGGGCGCAATCACTTTGGCATTAATAAGATAGGACATGCGACGTGCGAAGCCGGCGTGGTCCGATGTGCCATAAATAGTACCGGGGATGGAGAAATGATGGAGCCTATCAAGCATTTAATGTGATGTCGATGCGCTATCAGCCGGGGGCTCAAGGTCGCAGTCATCTTTTGGCTTATATCGAGGGGTGTCAAGAGGCACCGCCTTTTGAGTCGGCTCTTGTGAAATGCTAGCCAAATAACTAGTTGAGCAGACTTGTGACGAGTCGTCTTTGATAATAGGACTGACAAGTATCACATTCTGAGTCATCCCAACGAGATGTTGACTCGGCTAGTCGGCTAAATCAGGATCCTGCCTGTTGTTGACAAGAGATCATAATGTGGCAACTGGAAACACCACAACACTTACCAAAATATAATATAAGATCCATCACCTAACTTCCATTTAACAAAACTCTTCAAAGCCTAACTGCTAGAAAAAACATCCTCTAGAATTTAGAGGTAGAGAGACATGATGACGTGCAACTAGGATTAGGAAGACAAGAGAAGTAGAGCAAACTAAGAACTTCACCCAAAAGAGAATTTTCTTGAAGCATCTTCCACATCCATTTTGAAAGAAAAGAAATGTTAAAATTAGAAAGATTGATGATACCCAAACCCCCCTCTCTCTTTTAGATTTGCAAACTAAACTCCATTTAATTAAAGCTTTACACGAAGAGATAAAATCTTTACTACCCCATAAGAAGTTTCTTTTGATTTTATCCATTGCATTGATTAACCATTTATAGAGCTTAAAAAAGGACAAGAAGTATAAAGGGATAGAGGTTAAGACTGAGTTGACAAGAGTCACCCCCCGATGGATAGTTATCTACTTTTCCACGTGGATAGCCTCTTAGAAAACTTATCCATGAGAGGTTGTCAGTCATGTTTATTGAAAGAGCCCTTTTTCATTGGGATACCAAGATATATGAAAGGAGGAGAGGCATGAGAACAGTTAAGAATGTTGGCAAACAAGGCTCCTTTGATAGGGGGTTTACCAAAATGGAAAAGATCGGTTTTGGCATAATTGATACCCAAGCCAGATATGTCCTCAAACATATATTTTAAGACAGAGAAGTCTTGACTGGAAGCTTTGCACGTGATGATTGTGTCATCAACAACCCGGAGGGAAGGAATATCATTCAGTTCCCCCTGGAGGTGCATCTCAGATAAGTCCCCACATGCAACACTAGAGATAGCATCTTATTGCGGACATCAACAGCTAAAATAGAAAGCACAATTGAAAGAGGGTCACCTTGCTTCAGATCCGTAGAGCATTGGAAGTAATTTGTTAGGGAATCATTAACCAAAATTGTAGACTTGGAAGAATGGAGGATCTCTCTAATCCATGCATCATTTAGTCCCGAAACCCCTAGCTTTTAGCATCTCAAGGATAAAGGACCGACTGACACAATCGAAGGACTTCATGAAATCCACTTTGGTCATGTAGATTTCCTTACATTTGGGGGTGCAATGGTGGAGAAGCTCATGAGCAATAGCATAAGAATCCAATGTGGATTTTCCACTTTGAAAGGCTAATTGAGTGGGGTCAAGTAAGGAAGATAGGAAAGGAGCAGGTCTATTAGACAAGACTTTGGTAAAGATTTTAAAATAGCCATTTAATAGACTCATAGGCCTAAAATCTTTAACATGACTAGCTCCATCAATCTTAGGGATGAGGGTAATAAGGGAGAAATTAATGTTATGGAGGGATGATGCATCTGAAAAGAGAAA